TGTTCTGTGTATGTTTGTAGTGTGGAGGGCTGCTTTTTCATTCCCAGCCTTCCGGCTAACTTAGATCCAAAATAATCACACAGAAACTGAGTTAATTAAATCACTGCTTGGCCCATTACCTCTAACTGCTTATTGGTGAACTCTTACGTATTAATTTAACCTATTTCTATTAATCTGTGTATCACTACGAGGTTGTGACCTACCAGCAAAGTTTCAACATGTCTATCTCCAATGGCAGCTCCATGGCATCTCCCTGTGATGGGGCGAGGTTGATCAGTAATTTAAAATCAACCAGACTCGCTTAATATAAAAGATACAGCTTTAATAAACAGAAGGAAAACTTACACCAGAGTCCCAACGGTCCATCCAAGAATGCAGGGGCCAAGAGAGGGTGGAGAAGCTCACCCGCCAGGTTTATAGGTAAATTTTTGACTTAGAGCAACACGCCCCATCATGGACAGAATATAATTAGCTGAACTCCCCTATCATCCCTGACTCTTCCCTTCTTTTTCCCAACATTCAGCCTCGCTTTCCCTGCCTACCTAAGTTCTACCTTGCAATAGGTCTAAAGCAATTTCTTTATTCATCAGTGGTATTCACAGCACACAGATGGGACTCCCACATCACCTCCCCTTTTTGTTTAAATAAAATGGAAGCCTTTAACATAGTAAAATTACATATAACAAAAGAGTTGTCAAGCAAGAATTGCAGTTACAATATTTCTATTTACTTTTTCTTTTATCACAACTAAGGAAAACTATAACTACCTATTCTTCAACTCCATCAAAGCCAGAAGGATATAATATTACCTAAGTAAACAGGAAGTGCATTGTAAGCAACTTCCAAAACTCTAGAATTGACAGAGACATGTCACTGCCTGGACAGTCACCCAAAGTTCCTCTGCACCATTGGGGAATCCATCTTCAGCCTACAGGCCCATAGTATCCAGCAAACTTTTTCATGAAACAGGAAATTTCAAAGACAGTTCTACCTATATTGGCAGTTTGTCAGTCACTTTCTTCTGTGTCCTGCAGAATGTCTGGCAAACTCTTTCATGACCCAAAGGATCATCTCACCTTTAGGCAAGTTCAGCAGTCATTTCTCTGCAGGTCCTGCATGTCAGTTCAGTAGTTCAGGCAAGAGCAGTTTCTCACCCAAATGGCCAACTAACTCCATAAGGATCCTCTTTGATGCCCATCTTCCTCTTGAAGTAGCTTGGTGCTGCCAGGAGCAGATGTGTCTCACTGTCATGAAAAGTCTTAAGTTTTTAAACGTTTTAAATACCATATTATGAAGGTCTCTGAAAGATTTGAAGAATACCTATCTAACTGAAATATATCTCTGTACATCTAGAAAATCTAACTTACATGGCTACAAGCTTAATGATTATCCATTAACCTATATTTCTGAATTATATATTATATTTTTTAATGAGCTGCACAGTTACAACACCTTAATCAAGAGCAGAAGTATACATATAACAAAATTGACCTTAATTTGTATCAATAAACCAAGGTCCATACCAATGCAAAGTATTCATCTCTATAGCATATCCCCCTTTAAGTGTAAACACACATTTATAGACAATATTTGAGAATATGGACGTAGTGTTCTCCATACTGTTTCCTGCTAATTGTTGGACATATTAATTCTTTTGGGGAGTGTTCTCAGCAACCTTTCAGAGAGTTATGGTCCATCAAACCATATTAGCTTGGAATGAATTCACAGGTTCTCATCCTCTGTGGATACAAAAGAAGAACCTATTTTCCAAAGCAACATATCCATAGACTCAAACTCTGAAGTCAAGATGCCTTTATAATATACATGCTGGTTTGTCTTAGCAGCCCATACAATGAAATGTCTTTCTGTACTTAGCTCCTTCACAGTCAAAAAATTTAAAGAAAACATAATAACATATATAATCCAGATTCTCTGTTTATAGTCCATCTTTATGTGGCTTATTTTTCTTTACTCCTTTTAATCTATGACTGTCTGTACTCTGTCTCTTTAAAAACTTTTTTTAAAAAACAATTTACTTATTTTCCAACTCTCTATACTCTTTTTCTTCTCTCTCCCAAGCCTACATACATTTATCCAACATTGTGACCCATTTAGAGTTCTTTTATGTCTGAATCTGTCCTTATTGTGTTATCTATAATTCTTTATTGTTCAGGAGTGCTTCTTAAAATGCTGAGTGCATTTTAAAAACTTTGGATGCTGAGACTGGAGAGATGGCTCAGAGGTTAAGAGCACTGACTGCTCTTCCAGAGGTCCTGAGTTCAATTCTCAGCAACCACATGGTGGCTCACGGCCATCTATAATGAGATCTGGTGCCCTTTTCTGGCATGCAAGCATACATGGAAGGAATGTTGTATACATAATAAATAATCCTTAAAAAATAATAATAATAAAAAACAACTTTGGCTGCGCCTTTGCTAGGAGAAATATGGCACTGCCTGCTTGCTCCGCCCATTCCAGCATGGTGGAGCTATTCTGTTCACTTCCTCTGAGCAGTGCAAACTGCCCCAGTTCCAAGTATGAAGCAGGTCTATGTCGAGCCATTAAGCAGTTGTAGCTGTCTGCTCACAATCCACACTTAGATACTCCATAGCCGGGCCTCCAGAAAGAGTCAGAGTTCATGCTAGCAGCATGGCCCAGAAAGCCGGCATTTCAAAATGGTGTGGCTTTTCCACCCCTGCTACAGCTGAGTCAGGAAAACCTCTTTTAAAGGAGCTACAGCATGCCACCAGCAAACAGCAAGAAGCTGTGTTAAACTCTGTAGTTTTGTATCTCGAATTAAGCTCTCTCAGGTTTTTAAGTGGATTTTAGTTTGCCACATTGGCACCAATTTGGTGCCAATGGATCACTTGTTGGTTCCCGGCCACCCAGCTAGCTTAGACCTGAAATAATCACACAGAAACTATATTAGTTAAATCATTGCTTGACCCCCTTAGCTCTAGATTCTTATTGGCTAACTCTTACATACTAATTTAACCTATTTCTAGTAATCTGTATATCACCACAAGGTCGTAGCCTACCAGCAAAGTTTCAGCGCATCTATCTCCAGCGACAGCTCCATGGCATCTCCCTGAGTTCCTAGTTCTCGCAGGCCAAAAGGGGGCTCCAGATCCCCTGGAACCGAAGTTAAGTACGGTTGTTAGTCACCCGTACCGTTAAAAACAAGTGCTCTTAGCTGCTGAGCCATCTCTGCAACCCTCTGTGCATTTTTAATAAGTGTTATTTTCAAGTTAATCCAAAATGGTTGGTTTTTTTAGAAGAAGTAAATATATTTTGTATTATGCCTATTTGCATATATGCATATTTACATTTGCACATATGAAATGTTTAAGTTAAATGCTTCTATTGTATCTCTCCACTCTGTTAATGTAAGTACTAGCTTAAGCAAAATAGGTCTTCCTGGGTGAGTATACTCGGGTTTGGTGATGAGCTCCTACAGGAGGACAGATGGGACACTCACCAGCTCAAAGCAGGGTAGGACTCTGTTGGGTTTGTGTGACAAAATATCCTAACCAGCCAACCTAGAACAACAAAAAAAAGCTTCATTTGGCTTACCATTTTATAGACGCCATCCCATGACCAGATAACCCTATGGTTTGGGGGCCTGTAGTTCATGGCAGGCAATGGGCAGAGTGGAACTTCTGTCCTTAAGCTAAAAAGTAAAACATGAAATCAAGGCCCTGGAGCCCACCATCCTTTCAAAGGCACCACTTTTGACCTAAAACCTCCTTAAAGGTCTCACTGCCTCCTACTAGGGTCTTCAGAGACATTAAATCTAAACTATAGCAAACCAGCAACCTTTCTTGTTTTATGCAAGTATTGCATAAAAATATCCCATCATTGTAAGGATGGCACTTGGATAAAGTACTGTTTATGAGATTCCACATCCTTCATCCTCATGAAGGTTCCCCAAGCATCCTAACAAATAAGTCCCCAGGCTCAAAAAACCGGACGAGCTGAGCTGCCTGCAAGAAGCATTCTCCAAACTGGCAAGCTACCTGCAGGCTGTGCAGTGAGCTGCAGGCTTCCAGCTCTCAGGAGCCCTCACCCATGCTGGCTTTGGTGACACAGCTGTCTAAGTCATTTCTTCTCCTGGAAGTAACCTCAGCAAACTCAGTGGTCCACCAAGCTGGATGTTGACAGTATCTATACTTTGAACTGTTGTCGATTCTCTTTCCCTAACTGAAGTGAGTAGGTATTTGTCCCTGTCTCCCCAGGAAAAGTGCTGCCCAGGAGTCCCACTGTCACATCTCACAGGACGGTAGCACTGTGTGTGTTAAGAACATATCCTTTTGCTTTATAGCTTAGACACACCTCTCCCCCATGTGTTGAAGGCCTGGTCCCTAGTGGTGCTAGTGGGAGGTAGTAGCACCATTTAAGGGGCAGGGCTTAATGAGATGTCCTTATTTCATTGGGGATATGCAGACTAGTTGGGACCCAGCCTCTTTTCCCTTGCCAGCCTGAAAGTAAGTGGTTTTGCTCCGTCATGGGCTGCTCCCACAATGTGCTGGGTTATCTACCATAGCCATAAAAGCAGCGGACCTCTGGGTTACAGACTAGAACTTCCAAAGTGTGGCTCAAACCTGCTATCCTCATAAATTGATCATGCCACGTATTTGTTAATGGTGATGGAAAACTAAAATGATATAATATCTGTTTCGCTGAGATTCCAGTGTGCTTATGCCAGTGTGTCTTTTCCAAGCTAAAAATTCTTTCAAGGAATCAGTTGGGTAATCAGAAACTCAATATTGATAAAATCGCATCATTTTTGATCAGTTGATATTGTTGAATATGCTTATAAGTGGAAGAAATTTTGACTCTGAAAGTTCTTTTTCCTTTTCCCATTCTGTTTACTCCAGATTTCCCCAAATGCCTCCCCTTCATTCTCGCATCTCAGCACATACTTATGCAGTCATAGAGAGAAGCAGCAGAAGCTGAGAGAAATTTAATTTTTATTTAAAAATAGAAGGAAAGAAGTGGGGTTACATTTTATAAATAACTATAAATATAGAGTGATAGGCAAAGTCTTCCAAATAAATAAATAAATATTGCCACATGCAAAGGGACCTAAGAAATTACAAGGTTGCCTTGGGTCTGCCATAAAGAAAGCCCCATGGTGCTGGGCTAGTGCGTTTACAACCAGTTGGCTGCTCAAGTTCTTTCTGGGTTTTTCCCATGTAGTTGCCTCAGTGGGAGGGCCTCCGGTGGCTATTGGACAGAACGATGCTCGCAACAGGAGATGGAAGTCAGTGAAGAAAAGGGATGGGGTGCATGGTATCTACTGCCATGCACGATTTAATGTTTCGGGGTGAGAGTTGGTTCATCCTTCACGTTGCCTGATGTTCCTCTGATAAACAGAAACAATGGATTCACTTCTGAGTCTGTGTACGTGGAGACCCTGGAAAATGCGTCCGAATCGGCTTTGCTACTGTTCTACTCTTCAGGTGCTCATTTGAATAGAGGTAGAAAGAGGGTGCCCTTTGTTGAAGTCTATCACCAGTTAAGGCTCAAAAGAGAGTAGAATTTCAAAGCCTGCCTAACACTTTCTGGCTGTTCACTGGGGCTATGCTCGCCCCAGGACAGCCCTGGGGTTTCTGATACTTCTGAAAAATGTGTTTATTTAATGCCCTAAGAGTTCCCAAGAGTAGCCTTCATTTCTGGATTAGCCCCTGCTAGAGACCTCTCCTGCTAGCTAGACCCTGGGATCCCTTTACACTTAGGAGGGGGAAAAGAAAAGACTTTTGTTTGCTTGTTTGTTTTTCAGTCCACAGAAAACCTAATCTAGAGCAGCCCGCATCTCAAAGACTCTTCCTCCTGTCCTGGTACATTTCCCAATTCGCCTAGAACATATCACAACTCAACCTGCTGGCGGAGGCTTTCACGAAAACGCCGTTACAGAGAGTTCGTGCATTTGCGTTTTGCAGAACACCTGGCAAGGTGGACATTCCTAAACCAGGGTGGCAGAAAACGACGTCCTGCTCAGAGTGCTGGGAACAGAGCAGGGTCAGAGCTAGTTCTGCGAATCTGGCAGAGAGGCTGAACTTTGTGGAACGTGCTTCTGGTCACCGTGTGTTTGGCTCTCCTTGTTAGCCTCCTGCCGACCTTCCAGCAAGAAGAAATCAGGGTTTTCTTTCTTCAGCTTGCCCAGTGAAGCCATTAAGGTGCTCAAACGCAAAAACCCATATGGGTCCCCAGCACAGTAACAAAAAGCTACAGCGATAGCCTCTTCCCTGTGCTCAAGGTGTGAACCCTGGACCACCATTTCTTAATTCTAATTGACCGATGAGAATGCTAGGCAACAGACAGGCTAATAAAAGCCAAGTTTACCTGTTAGTTTAAAAAAAAAATAAAAAGCTAGGTGTCTAGTTTACCTGATGGGGTATTTATAACAGATTAACATAATAAATTACGTGTGTGTGGTGGGGGGTATTGTGCGTGTGAGTGCAGGTGTCCAGGCAGGCTAGAAGCATCAGATTCCCTTGGAGCTGGTTACAGGTAGTTGTGGGTGCTGAGAACTGTCCTCTGTGTGAGCAGCACAGGCTCTTAAACTCTGAGCCATCTCTCCAGCCTCCTACTGTTGGGTCTTATTCCTAATGGTAGTGCCTGGCTGGGACCTCGCAGGTGACTCTCAGGCCCAAAGGGAAGGGAGAGAAGCAGGCACCCCAGCCTTCCACCTTGCACGTGGGCTGAGCCGATTGGAGGATGGAGGCTGAGACCGCCTGGCTGGTGGCCTAGGCGAACCTGGGAAAGGGGCGGCAGCGGTCCGCGCCTCCTGCACCCCCGCGAGGATCCCCGCGGCCTCTGCGCAGTACGCCCAGTGGGTCACTGGCCGCGGGTCCGCCTTCCTCGGCGCTCTGCAGCTCTCGCGAGCAGGAAACGGGCATCGGCGTGGCACGGGGCCGCGGCTTGAGCACGTTCAGCGGGTCGCGCTCGGGAGGGTCCTCGGCGCTACGGGTGTGGCGTCGTGGTCGCGCGGTGTGGAAACGCAGCAGGGGGACCTCGTTCCTGCGCGCCAGGAACTGCGAGAAGGGCGGCGGGTTGGTACCAGGCTGGAAGGGGCGCTTGGCGCGGCTCAGGCTCACTAGGTAGTGATGCTGCGGTGACAGGTAGACGTCGTAGCCATTCTCCAGAGTCCACTGGCGGAACCTGCAGTTCTCCGGACTGAAGTGATGCTGTAGGGGAAGGGGAGCATGAGGAGGTGAGGATCGCCGCTCGGTTAAGAGCACTGCTCAGCCCAGCTCCTCACCTCCCTCTTAAGAAAGGCTGTCCGATTCCCGAACTTGGCCCTAGCTTCAGGAAAGTGGCCCCTGTAAGAACCCTTGAGGGCACTATATGAAGGACCTTGATCTGGCGCCCAGCTTGCTGGAGCAGGGCTCAGAAAGAGTTGATGACACATCCCTCTTGTTTGGTGTCCCCGAGAATTAAACATTCACATTCTCATTCATAGCCATTCATTCTGTTTATGTCTCTTGACTGTCTTCAGGGGGACTAGGCTAACATTCATAGTCTCCAGCCCCTCCTCCCTTGCTCCCTGTCGCCCCCTTCCTGGGAATTGACTAGGGTTTCATGTAGGCCAGGCAAGCGCCTTACAACTGATCTACAGTCCCAGCCCTTCTATTTTTTCCCCAATTTAAGGCAGAGACTCATGGAGTTACCCAGGCTGGGCTTGAACTCTACTGTGCACCCCAGGAAGACCTTGAACTTTCAATCCTCCTGCCTCAGCCAACCGAGTAGTTTTGATGATGGCTTGCGTCTCTTGGCCTGAATTGGAAGGAGGTTGTGGCTTGTCTCTGCCTAGAGACTGGAACTGGGATGGACTTTGAAGGGTCAAATATACGTGTAGGTACAGACGCCAAGACGTAATGTAGACTGAAGATCAGGGACTTGAACTTACTAGCAGATAGTCTGGGTTTGAACCTCATTCTCCCATTTGTACTGAGTTATTATTGAGTGTCTTTCCCGACCTTTACATAGTTCCCAGACTGTACAGAGCATTCTCGAGGCAAGGCTTCCTGTGTGCGTAGGTGTCTATCTACTCTGAACAGATGGTATTGCAGGTGCTGGGATGCACACAGCAGTAACTAAACAGAAGATTTCGACTTCCGGAACTTCATAGTGGCATTGATAAGGGATTCCTAAATCAATTGGTCCTTCTTCATATCTCCTTCAAATTGATTGGGACTATGCTTTAGTCTGTAGTTTTGAAAAACCTTGATTTACAATCTGAATGACCAGCCATCACCCTGAGGGTAAGGGTAATTAATTGGTGGTCATTAGTAGGAGGGAGAGCTTCAGGTAACATGGTCCACATCTCTTTCTAAGGGAAGAGACTGAAGTTGGGAGGATTGAGAGAGCTTACTCGAGGTCACAGTTGGTAGCAGAACTGTGAAGACAGCAAAGGTTGCTCACCTTGGTGTATACATTTTCTAATGTATAAATTAAAAATATGAATTGACATGCTTTAGAACCTATAACATAACAGGGACTGTGAGCCATGCAAGTTTTACAAGGTTTACACGCTGGGGTTTGGAATGAGGAGTGCGGGCATGCTCCTTTCCCAGAGCTCAGTTCCCACACAGACATAGGATTTTAGAATTCACATCCTATAAAAAGATATTAAAGTCATTATAAACTAGTGGCCAACACAAAAAGAAACTCACCGATCCAAAAATGTTGCCTCTGAGATCCATACAAAGGAACCTTCTAGTCGCGGCTCCTGTTATGACCACGAAGCCGGCGTCTTCTGATCTGATCATCAGGGCACCTGTAAGGAAAACTCTCGGGTTAAAATATGCAGTCACCCCTCCCTGAAAACTCTTTCTGAAAACACCCCCCCCGTGACACCTCTCTGTCGGGGATGACATCACACAGCTCTCGGGGTCTCACTGCCCCTCTCATTTTCAGGGACTCCCAACTCCAGCATCAATGCACTTCCTCACCTCCTGCTTTACTGTCCTCCCGCACGGGGCACCTTGATTTCCCAATGTCCCCCATCCATGCAGCATACAGATTTCCCTCCATCTGGATGCTACTTTCCTCTTTGCCGGGCTAATATCTTTTAGAGTTCAGGGCAGCAGCTGTGCCCTTCTACCATGGCTGCTTCTGTGATTTCTGTGTTGAGATGTCATTCAGTGACCCAGCTTGTATAGAGCCCGGGTCCCCCTCACTCCCCGTCCCAATCTGTATGCTCAGAGATGGTCTCTTACCCTATCTGCTGAAGTTGTTTACCCTTCAAAGTCAGCTGTAGGCATCTCTGTGTTTCTTACCTCCCTAGCCAGTATTGCTCTTCAGTATAGGGCCCCTGCTGTTACTACAGCCTGCCCCCTTCTGGCTCTATCATATCTGCATGCCTAAAACCTTTCCCAGAGAAGCAGAGAGTTCCTCACCCCACCCCGCAAGACATTTATTAGACATCAGGGATGGATAGAATTTGCTTCTTGGACCCAGTCCTTTGTGCTTTTCTCACATGGGGATGCTTGCTCTTTGTGGATGCCGGTCTTGGACAACTTTCAATAAGCTCAATTAAAAACTTGCTTTTAACTACAGCTTGAAGTATGCGTGTATCAGCTGCACCTTAAACAATGGATCGATACCTCGAAAGGGGTATTCTGTAGTAAAGGTAAGATTAAGCCACATTGTGTTGGGAAATGAGTGGGGATTCAGCAGGACTTGGTATTTTCCCTTGAAAGTAATTCCCTTAGATATTTAAGGACACTTTTAACTGCCTGCTGTGGAGCTTCACCTCACGGCTCTAAGGAGGCTGCACAGACAGGACTTTTAGCCTTGCTTCAGAAAACAGTCTGTGCCTAGTGTGTGGTAGAACATCATGGGATGCTCTGAAGCCAAGGCCTCTTTCCCACCCTGTGAGGCTCAGAACAAACACTGGCAAGGGGAGTGAGCAGGCAAAGGTCACTACAGAGCCTGGGACACGCTGAAGCTGGCATGATGTGGACAGAGGGAATGAAGGCAGACATGAGCCCAGGGAGGTGACAGCAGCAGAGGAACAATCAGCAAAATTTGCTTTAAATGGTTCAAAGTTGGGCTGCAGGTTAGCCAAGTGGGAGACATACCACACATGTTCTTTCAAGATGATGTCTGGCTGTGTGTCTCAAATATATAGCTGATTTTTTGTAGACTGAGACAGGCATAGAAATACAGAGGAATTTCTGTCCTGAGGGTTTTTTGGTCCAATTGAGGGGGCTGAGGCGAGTGATTACATTTAGTAAGTATGTTTTCTTTTCCTTCCTTTTTCTTTCCTTCCTTCCTTCCTTCCTTCCTTCTTTCTTTTAAGCACTCTATATGTTTTAAATTCTCAGAAACTGTTATATTGTTAAAACACACATCATTATCATTTTAGTAACTGTTGTCATTTTAATAGTTATTGGAGCATCTTTAAGAGACAAAGAGGGATTTGCACTCAGGGCAGTGACATCTTCCTGCCCTGCAGTTGTAGCCTCCGACAGGGAAAGTGACTCTGGAGCAGTCTTCACTGTGACGTGAGCACAGCATAGCAGTGCCTGCCTACGTGGTAGGGGTCCCACCAATCAGGAGGGATAATGCTTGCAAGAGTGACTCGGCAGCTGACCACTTCCGCACCCTGACACCTTGTCAGCCTGTCTGGTGGTGGGAGGCCCCATAGGCAATGAGCACAGTACCCTAACTCTAGGACCAGTCCTGATAGAAAGCACACTGCAGAGTGAGTGGCTACCAGAGGGGCCACTTTTGAATGAAGCCAACAGCAGTCAACAGAAACGTTCACTTGGCCAAATACATGCTAAGCCGCACACTGAAGGAAAAGAATGGGCCATTAAGTGAGGGTGATGAGCAACTCTTTCCTGCCATTTCCAAAAAAGTGAGCTTAATTGGGAGTGGGAAGCTGGCCTTGTTCATAGTAGGAAAAGCTTACCAACCCCAGAGAGGCCCCCAAAGCCTTCTGAGTTCAGGGGAGCTTGGGAGCCTTTGGGGCAGATCATTCCATCTTGTAAAGACCAATGACCTGAACAGGAGTTGGACACTCATCTTAACCAAGAACTCACTAAAGCAAAACTTTAAATAGAGACAGTAGAAACTGCTACCTCGTTTTGTCTCCTCAAAGATGTAATGAGAAGCCCTGACCTCCAGCGGCACTGAACACATGTGGTTCAAAGAGGTACATACAAAACAAGACCATCATACATACAAAATAAACAAATGAGATCAGAAAAAAACCAAGTTTTGCTGTAAGTAGCTAATTAATTAGGAGGATGATTATATTAATAATATGTAAAGATAAGAACAAGATAAAGATAAAGTCTGTTTTTAGGAAAATGCATATAACTGGGTAGTACTTCAGGTCCAGGTCCCCAGCCCCCCAAAAGCAAAGCTTACACAAGATAAAATCACACACAAAAGCTGAAGTCAGGTCAGTTCATTGTACTGCCTCTCAGCCACCACGTTCATTGCTCCAGGCTTCCTCCAGCCCCAGTGTCTGTCAGCACCCAAGGAAAAAGGCCTGCCCTTCGGACTGCTTTCATAGCAGACTGACATCATACATCCTACCTCTAGCCAGCCTGGATTGTTCCAGACTGACTTCTTGGTCTCTCTCTGCAGAGGCCTTCCAACAAAGGAATTCTATGATTCTATGTGTTCTTTATTCATAAGCAAATTTCCAATCTCTGAAACCAAAATAGTTTATCCTTATGCCCTGCCCAGCGTTTGAAATCACATGTGGTCTTGCAGCGGAAGTCGGGGCAGTCTTCCAGGGGAGGAGCACAGTAGTGCTTCCTAAAAGTTTGCTAGTATGCTGGGAAATGAAAAGTCTATGAAGAGCTATGTCACTTTGCAGTGACAGGGGGCTGGGTGGTCAGGCCCCTTGGAGGTCCTGTTTCACAGAGCACAAGCAGTGCTGGGGACCCATGAAGTGTACCCGGATTTATTTCAGGTTCTTCCCATCAGGCCCTGACTTCTGAGAGGGAACTCTAGGGTTCCACTTTACCCCCTTGAGTTCTGGAGGATGCTTGGCATTTGGAGAGAGCCCTTCTCCTCCTCACCTCACCTACCAGTGTAGCCCTTGGACAGGAGTAAGATGCTGGCTTTGTGTGTTCCCGTATTTAGCTGCTAGATTTAAGGTCTATTGATCATAGCAGAGAGAATGTCATGCATGCAGCAAGGCCACATTATGAAACCAGGTTCACCTATTACAACAGCAGAGGAGAGCGTAATCCCTATAGAAAGTTCTTCAGTGGAATGCCGGTTGTTACTACTCTGAATGCTCTCTACATGGCACTGAACCCAGCTACATCCTCTGAACTCCTCCAGGAACCTTTTGGCTTTTATTTCACGTGCCTGGATGTCTTGTCTGCATGTCTGTGCACCACATGTGTGTAGGTTTTGGTCTTTATTTCATGTGTCTTGCTGTCTGGTCTGCGTGTATGTCTGTGCACCACATTTCTGCAGTGCCGTCGGAGGTCAGAAGAGGGCATTGGATCTCCTGGAACTGAAGTTATGGATCACTGCAAGCCACTACTTGGTGCTGGACTGAACCTGGGTCCTCTGTAAGAGCAGCAAGTGCTCTTAGCTGCTGAGCCACCTCTCCAGTCCCGCTTGGAATACTTCTTACATGACTGCTAAAATAGAAACCATGTTTGCCAATACCCATCTCTCCTCTCTCTGTTTTCTATATATTATCCCTTCTGCTCGAAGGGACTCTCACTTTAATACATGTAATTGATTGACATTTATGGCTTGTGATCCAACTTTCCATAGACTCTATCTTTAAGAATATTTCAGGTGTCTCACAGCACCAAGAAGTTCACAACCAGTTCAGTTTGTTAGCAACTAAACACATTTCAACTTCCCAGAGAACCACCAACTCCTACCGGGCTCCCCTGCAGCACCCAGCAAACCTGTTGGGTAGATGCTTGCAGTCAGACTTGCCAAGAAAGCATACCTTAGTGGTCTCTCTTTAACACATGTCTCTTGAGAAGGTTTTGTTTTGAAACAGAGTCTTGGTTCACAGCCCTGACTAGCCTGGAGCTCACTATGTAGACCAGGTTGGCCCTGTATTTGTATTAAGGATGTGCCCGGCTCTTGAGAATGTATCCTAGTCAGAATACTAGAAATTTGGAGTTGAAAAGAGCCCCTATTTCATCTATTTTAGATCTTGGGACCCTGGAATATCCCCCACTGTCTCCCACAGTTACATTTCATCATTTTTGGTTCTGTCTGGGTAATTCTCTTTGAGTCTTGTCTTTCTATCCAATCCCCCTCCAATTCCTAGACAGAAGGAAAGAAAACTGTCTCGCATTATTGGAAATGACTTATGGCAGTGATTATTGGGGTTGATCAAAACATGTAAGTCCAATTAAGGAGGAGGAGGAAAAACATCTTCCTCTTAGGTTCCTCTCTCTCTCTCTCTCTCTCTCTCTCTCTC